GTGGGAGGCAGCACAGAGAAGGGGGCAATACTTGCTCAGCCAAGGCCCTTCCCAGAACCCCCAGGATAAATTTTCTCAAAAATATCTTCAAAGTGCAATGGAGCCCCCTGCCATTAATTAAATGGCACCCAGTCACTTTTAGGCAGTCTTAGGAGGGAAAAAAAATCAGTGAAACTGTTTTGATCATACATATTTCACAAATGTAAAACATTGGATAAATTTTGAGTTTCACAAAAATTGTTTATGACTAACTCAAATCATGTGTTTAAAAATTCTGCTTGCACTTCAGGAATTTGCATCCGTTTGCCTGGATGAACGTTCTGGAAACGGTGCAGTTTTTTTCAGGGGAAGCATTTTCACTTAAGGTGTGTATCGTTGCTTAGGTTTGTTAACTTGTTTTTTGCATTAAACTACTAGTCCATAAATATGGATCAAGGACTCAAAAGTAGTTCCCTGAGGTGTAAAAGGAGTGGTAAGAATACTAACGTAAAAGCTACAATAAAGAACAATTTTTAAATGAAAATAATGTGCAAATTATAAATCTACACATGCGGGGAGAAGTGAATCTGTGAATGACATGCATTGTCACAAGCATGCTCCCCTGCCAGGTGTGTCCCTCCCGGTTTCCAGGTGAATTCCCCAACACCACAGGGCACAGGGGAGGTTTTATTGGGAAAGGCTGGGATCAATGAGAAGAGGAAGGCACTGCTCCTCCCCCACACTCCCTCATCATCCATGCAGAGGGATGCCGGGGCCCAGGTCATCTGTTATTTTGCCCTTTTTATAGGGCAAGTTGTAAAGTTTTGTCAAGACTGGGACAGACAGCTGCCCAGGTCATGGATAGCACAGGACCCATGGGGAGTTCTAATCCCCCCTGTTGGCTGTGAGTCCTGAGGCAAACCATCAGTTCCTCCACATGCAGAATGGATGGCAGTGAGATACAGTCTTACCTGGGTAATTGTTCAAGGTCACTTACAGACAGTACTGCTCATTGCACAACAACTAAGTGGAGGACAGCAATGGTGCTGATCAAGCCAGGCTTAGTCTCCCACATTAAATGTTTTGGAGTTAATTTTTGCTGATGTCAGCCAAGGTACCAACAGGAAACAGATGGCACAAAGGTGGGAACTGAGGGAATTTTGGTAACGGAGCTATGTATAAACACCAGGGCAGACATCAGGGAAACCAACAAGGGATGGGGAAGCAGCCCGGGGCTCAGCAGCAGGGGGCAGCCATCACTACCCCTGAAGAGAGGTTTGGAGGGGCTGAGGGGCCAGCAGCAGCCATCAAGTCCTTTGGTGTAGGAACCCGGCCACTCCCAACTTGTAACCCTGCAGGAAGGAAACAGGGAGAATAAATGACGCTGACCTCACTTTCCTACCATTAATCTGATGGTGTTCCCACTGGCCAAACCCAATCACAAGTCTGAGGGTGAGGAACTTGGCAAATCCAGCTGATGGGTCAGCCTTCCAGGGTACAAGGTCAAGTGGAGAAGGCAGGAAGTAAGTGGACATTAGGGACAAACAGAGAATGTCCACACAGCAAGGAAGACAGGACCCAGGGGCAGCCCTTGAGAGGAGAGCTTTAGGAGAGCAAAGGAGGTGAGAGACCATATGCAGGGCATGGCTGCGCCCGTGAGCCATGGCCGCTGAGCCTGCGCGTCCGGAGCCTGTGCTCCGCGGCGGGAGAGGCCACATCGGAGAGAGGCCCGCATACCGCCAAAAAAAAAGAGGGCTCTGGGTTAGGAAAAGAGAGTATTTTCTGATTTGGGAAAAAGACAGAATTTTCATCTGAAGGGCCTAAGGATCCACTGTAAAGGGAATAACTGGAGAAAGAAAGAATAACAGATATGCCCACCATGGGAGAGTATAGAGTTTTGAAGACAGGACACAGTATTACATGAACAAGGTCAAAATCATACCAACTGTTAATTGAGTCATTTACACTCCCCTCCCCCCCCACCAATAATAGTCAGCCATAGAATGCATTCTACTGCGGTAGGTTTACTATGCCATCTCCTAAAAGTGCTTTATTAAGGTGAGACTTTAAAATGTTCTCAAATATGACTTGAACAGATTAAGGCACTTGATTGAAATGAGAAGACCAGATTTGAGAATTATGTAAAGGTTAAGAAAATGAAATATATTTCAAAATTGATTAGCAATTGGAATACTTTCTTGGCTAAAAATTAAATATGTAGCAAAGAGTGAAGGCGATTATTCACAAATTAAAATGCTTCTTATAGTTTTTCTTTCTACATCTAACAAATGTATCTGAAGGCTTGAATACAGAGTGTTATCTAAATTCTACCTCCACAGTTTTGTGGTCTCTCAGTACTATTTCAAATTGGAATTTTTCCAGCCTGATCCTCTTAGACTATCACGGGTGTCACCTAATAGATTGAAGACCTCAGGAATCACGGTGTTAGAACTACTATGTCATTAATCTCATTAGTGACATTATTTCATTTATTGTTAAAGAACTTCACTTATACTTAAAATGAGCCAGTAACGCATAAATCATGAGTGGAGTAGAAACGTTTCCCTACCCTAAGAAGACAGCTGAAATCTCACCATTGGTTTTCATTGTCTTATGTTGCCACTCCAGACCATCAATACCCATTATAAAATTATCTAGCCCTTTCCTAAATGTTTCTCTGGTATGGTTTATTTTAAACATCCAATACCTCAATTGGTAAAATTATGAAAATATCCCTCTTCAAGAAAATCTGATCCCATTTGTAAAATCTGCTTCTCATAGGTTTACAGGTGTGTAGATTAGAGTACTTTCATTAGAACAAGGGCCAATCCAATTGAGCAAATGATAGTATCAAGCTACCCCAAATTTCACTGTGATGTGCTAAAAGTCAGAGGTCTTTTAAAAGAAAATAATTGTAAACTACCAGACCCATATGTTTCCTTTTCTCTGCTAGCCTTAAAACAATAAACTAAGATAAGGAATGGAATTTTCAGGCTTCGGTGAGAAGCCTTTATCTTCAAAAGAGACTTGAGAAGGAAGACTTAACTGACCTTTCCATGTAAGAAAGCATATCACCTACTGAGATGTGTCTTTCTTGTTGGCACCTCCGTACAAAAGAAGTGAGAAGCTAAAATCAGCTTCAACTTGTGCAAATTAAAAGTAACCTTCAGGCTAATGGGTTTTCAACACCACTCCTTACTGGGCAAAAAAATTGTGCCCCGTAAAATTAAATTACCTCCTCAAAACTGACTTCTCCAATAAATTATGATACTAAATACAGTAAAATTGAAATTCCTACAAAACAATTCCCCCCTCCCTGGGGTAACCCTCTTGTCACTGTTAGAATTGATTCCATCTTTAATGGAGTCCTCCATCTAGCTCCGGGGTCCAAAATCAAAAAGGGGTGAAGAAAACATAAAAACTGTCAAAGAAATGGCAGAACAATTACAAGCCAGGAAAATAAATCAGACATTTGAGAAAACTACAACTACAGTTTAGCAAAATAAATGCTGTAGCAATGTACCAAAGGCTAAATTTAAAGAATGTGAAGGGTTCTTACTTAGCAGAAGATGACCCGTTGTTTTCCATTTCTTTGAAATAGTGATCAGGAGGAAAAAATCAAATAATTAAGCACTGTAATGAGTTTGTAAGGTGGTAGCACTTAAGTATTAAATCTGGCAATCACTAAAAATTGACTATATTTTCACTAACTGAGGAAGTCTAACATAGTCCTTTTTAAACAGTGTTAGAAATCATAAACTCATTGTTGAGTGAATATTCTGTACTAAGAGCTAACCAGTTTCTTTAGGCATGAAAATATCAAGGAAAGGAGGACTCCACAGTCCACTTAAAAGACTAATCAAACATATACAAAAGTAGAGACATAAATTCATAAACACCAGTTAGTACAAATTGTGCGCAAAATCTTAACAGTAAGACAAGGAAAGGCACAATTATCATGAGGTTATATAAAGCTAAAGTGTTCAATTTGGTTTGAAAGGCAGTGGGCAAATGTAAGAAGAAGTCTATGATGGAAATTATGGCAGGTGTTGTACAGGATGGACTAAAGTCAAGAGAAACGTACAAACTAATACTAATCCTAATAATATCTGACTACAGGTACCAGATACTATTCTAAACATTCCCATATATTAACATGTTAAATCCTCACAGTAATGCAATGAGGCCGACACTGTCATTATCTCATTTTACAGAAGGCGAAAGTGAAGCATGTAAATAATGTCTGATTTTTTGCAGTAAGCTTCCTGCATAGCAACTCCCACACAGGTTAATATAAGCAAAGCACATTTCACTATCAAAGCAGGTACTATCATCCAGAGAAGACTACTGATACTATTACTAAATGTATTGTTTTTCAATGTTTTTATTACAGAAAAATTCAAATATATATAAAGTAGAAATAATAATATAATGACCACACCCCCTCCATGTACCCAGTCTTGATTCTTCCACTATATCTCCACTCATTATCCATCTACCCCTCATGATTTTGCAGTAAATCGCTGGCATTTTACCATTTCATCATCACTAAATCTTTCAGCATGTTGTCTCTAGAAGATAAAGACGGTTTTTCCTTGTAAACATGACAATAACCTCCTAACACTTTAAAATGACAATTCCTTAATATCAAATATCAATCAAGGGTCAATTCCAATAATATATCTCACTTTAATACTTATTGAGAACTTGCTATGTGTTCGCAGTGGTCACTTCCACGTACACTAGTTCGTTTAAATTGCTTTTTTTTTTCTCACTCTTACTAAAAGGAACGAGTCTGTCTCTACTCGGTGATTCAAGGCACCGCCGCGGGCCTTCCCGGCAGAGCGCCCCGCAGCGGCCGGGCCCGGGTCTCCCGCTCCCACCGCCACCGGGTCCCAGCCCTCTCCCAGCTGGGGACGCGGCCCCGGACCGGAAGCCGCTGTGCGTGGTGCTCACTTCCCCAGCCCAGCGACCCCGGCCCCGCCCCAGTTGCCCCGGCGACGAGGGGCCGCCGTGCGGCGGCTGGATCATGGCGGCGTCTGTGGGGACGACTCCCGGGGGGACGACCCCCGCGGGGATGACTCCGGCGGGAACCACGCCCGAGTCGGAGGTACGCCGTCCCTGCCCGGTACCCGCGACCCCCGAGCGCCCGCCCCCTTCCCGCGGCCGAGGCTTGTCCCGGGGAGGCGCCTCCCGCCGGGGATTGGGTGCGCGGACCCGAGTGGCGGAGGGTTTGGGAGCGGGTCCCGGGCGGCGCGGGCTCCGGGGGAGAGAAAGGGGGTCCCGGAGCCACCGCCCCGCGCTCCCCGAGCCCTGCCGCTCGACTCGCCTCGTGCTCTCGAGTGTAAACTAGAAATCCTTCCGTTGGACGGTTCATTCGTTGCCCCAAAGGCTTCACAAGGACGCCCTTTTCCCCGGATTCTCAGCACTTGAAAGGGAATTCTGGCAATCTTGAATGGGCCCGACTCTTTTGGAAATTACTACTAATTCACTTAAGATGATCACAGTTCCTGTTGCCCAAAAGCTGTCGTGGAATAATTACTCTTCATTGGTAGTGAATAGATTAATATTTGAAGGCCAGTGTTTCCCTTATTATTTTGCTGTTTCTCTAAATAATAAATACATAATAGGAGATGGGACAAAGGGGGAACGCCTGGAAAATCGACCTTCCGGTTATGGCTTAGTTGCTCATCAGCCCCTTGTTTTTAGGAAAAGTATTTAACGTCCTTGGGCCTCCAGTGGTTTCCTTTGTAAAATAAAGATTTTTCCTCAGGCCCCTCCAAACACCAGTTCTCAGTAATAAATGGGTTCTAGGTAACTTGAGTTACTCACAAGCTTTGTATCCTGAGATTTTAATTAAGAATATATTCCTAAAAAATGTTTAAATCTTCGCATACTTGAGTCAATCATGTTGTCCTAAGAAGTTTTTTCTTCTGTTTTTAAGACTCTGGAGGTGAATAATGTTATAATTAACATTGCTAGGCTCAACTTCCTTATTTGTGTAAATAACATTTTTTTTGTACAGAAGATATGTATTAGCTGCAGTTTTATAAATGAGGAAACGCAGATCCAGTGAATTTAGTGCCTTGCCCAGAGATGTGCAAGTCATTCCCAAGCCATTCTTCCCAATACTGTGTGCAGACCACTAAAGCATGCGGATTCTCCTATGAGCCTTTTGAAATTAGCATACATTAAAAATACATTTTAATGTGATAAACTGGTTACTAACCCAGTTACTCCCTTGTGATCTCTAATGTAAGTAATATAGTTTCAAAAGTGGCATAGGAAATTTCCCAATTAAATCGTGTTATTTAAATATATACAAGAACTTACTTATGAGAATGTACAGTTGTCAGTGTACACCCACATATATAGTTTCCCATGCAGATAATGTCCTTTGTAAGAAAGACTGATAATTTGGGGTTAATGAGCCTGCACTTCGAAAAAAAATGCCCCATAATTTTTCTTTTTTTAAAAGATGTGAGGAAGTGCCATGTTCCAGGAAAAAAATAATCACTTTTTATAATGGACGAGTCAGACGAATACATATAGACGTTAGGTGATTATCTGCCACCTTAACCCTGTCAGTGAGCACTTTTGTAAACTTCTTGGAGAAGCAAGTATTCCCCATGACAATCAGTAGTCTTTTAGTAACAAACCGAACAAATCAAGTTGGAATTTGGACTCACTTAACTGTGTTCTTTTACTAAGATTAACATACTGCATGGTCAAAACTCCATTTTCCATTCTAATGAAAGCAGAGTTCCTGTAATTCATGGAGTAGACAGTTGATCCCTAGTGTTATGTCATTCATTAGAATAAGTCCTGCCTGCCACCCATTTGTGCCCACTGTGGGTTTCAGGGGTTAGATAGAAAAGACAGCAAAAATCTCTCGGTGTGTCTGTTCCCAAGGCTACATCTTTTCAGTTAGGTACTGAAAGGTTCTTCTCAGGTCAGATTCTTTACTGAGTTGATCCCCCAAGACCTAGTCCCTTATAGTATTATTTCTTAATAATTCTTTATCCAAATTGACTTAGCCAGTGCACCATCCAGTCATCTGAGCCAAGCAGTAGTGAAATATTTCTTTTCTTGCCAAGTCTATTGCAAATAAAGCATAAGCTTCCAATAGTCTGAGGTTTCCCGTTTGTTGTTTGTTCTCAGTACCTAAAATAAAAACAGCAAATTATCCCAGTCGTATAGTAGGCACTCAGTAAAAATATAGCTTAACTAATTGAAATTATAGAGGATCTGACATATGCCAGGAATGTAGTTATCATAGCTCAAAATCTGCTCTGTAAGATACCTTGAACAAGCAGACGTGAGATGCAGGTCCAGGAAAATATTTCTTATGTAATATTGCTTAAAATTTTTTTTGCCAACTTTCCGAATTCAACAATCCAGTTTCTTTAGTAACATGGGAGTAAATGCCTCCTTCTAAAAGGTAAGACTAAACATTTGGGAGATATCTATTTAAATGCACAAGACCAGAGAAATGACGACAGTCTGAAAATAAGTATTTCCTACGTATAGATCTGTAACTGAAAGGAGTTTATAAATTCTCCTAAGTTAATTTATAAGTGAGTTTGTAAATGAATACTTAGAATTCAATCATCAGTCTTTTATCGATAGTTTGTTCATAAGCTGACTTTCTTAATATCTTCAAAAATACTATTCGGGACATGTAATCATTTAAGTATTATATGTAAAAGGACTGTACTTCAACTCATATCAGAGACCTAAAAGAAAATGTAAATGATTATTTCCCAATTGCTTCTTTTGAATAATTTCCCTTAGTGTTAACAAATCCCCTAACAGATGACATTTATTCAATGCCTTTGGGACTTTCTCAGGACAAGGGGACACTTACATAATCCTGAGTGGAAAGATGATATCACTTGTGGTAAAAGCCTCAGTGTGTTTGGGAGAGGCCATAGACAATTCTCTCGACATTAGGAGGTCCCTACGGACCTTGAAAATAGCCCCCGCCCCGTCATTGGCAGGTTAGAGAGAAACACTTGGGGCTCAACTTGGGCACCAAGATGACCAGTTTCCTGCAGTTGCAGTGTCATTCATGAGGTATTTATTGAAGCCATTTACAGCACATGGTGTAGATCAACCTGTGCAGGGCTATGAGGAGGATGCCAAAAAGTTGCTCAAAATATTGTTGAAAAAACAGTGCTAATATTCCTTAAAATGTGAATATACAGTAGCATTATTTATCAGACACTTAGAACCTCTGGAAATATTGGCCTTGGGCGTGGAGGTGTTGACAAACATTTGGGCTTGTCTTTCATCTTACCATCAGTCTTTGGGTTTCCTATCTTATTCTTATTTCCTGCTTCTCCCCACTCCATCCTCCCTTTCAGGTTGCACAAATCATATTCAATTTTTTTCTAATATTTAAAGTTTTATTTTACTAAAGTTAGGTCTTTAACACAGCTAAAATTAATTTTTGATGGATGTACTGTATATTTGAAATGAGGATCTAATTTTGTTTTCTTCTAGACATGAACCATCAATTATGCCAGTTTCATTTACTATAAATAAGCCATACTCTCTTCCCATGGAGAATGGACTGACTGCCACTATCACATTAAATATGTACATGAATGGGCACAAGAATGGCTGAGGAGTCAGTGGAATAGAATAAAGAATCCATCATTTATATATGTATATGTATAAATTTATACATGTAGGTATATTTTTGAATTTCCATTCTCTATTTTTTTACACTGACTAGTTTGTCCATTCTTGTGTTACTGCCAACCTACTTTATATTTAACTTTAATGTCTGATTTGGAAAGGTCCCTCTCACTATTTTTCTTTTTCAAAATGTATGTATTCTTCCATAAGAACTTGAAAAAATGATTTCGATAGTTACAAAATGATACAGTTGAGATTTGAGATTGTCATTGCATTATACTTGTAATGTGGGAAGGATTTAATTTTTTTTTATTTAATTTATTTTATTTTTGGCTGCGTTGGGTCTTCGTTGCGGTGCGCAGGCTTCGCATTGCGGTGGCTTCTCTTGTTGCGGAGCACCGGCTCTAGGCGCACAGGCTTCAGTAGTTGTGGCTCGCGGGCTCTAGAGCACAGGTTCAATAGTTGTGGCGCACGGGCTTAGTTGCTCCGTGGCATGTGGGATCTTCCCGGACCAGGGCTCGAACCCGTGTTCCTTGCGCTGGCAGGTGGATTCCTAACCACTGCGCCACCAGGGAGGCATAATTTTTTTAATTTGAAGGTTTCCAATAAATCTCTTTTATCAAATCTTGTTATTAAACTTAGATAAAGTTTATAATTTCTTTAGGTACTATACCTTTCTTATTATATTTTTAATCCAGTTTAATCAATTTTAATGCCATTTACATTTATAATTAGTTTCTAATACAGAGGAGAGCAGGTAGCCTTTGTATGTTTATGTTATATGTAACCATCTTACAAGTTTCTTATTAGCTCAAACCATGTTAGTACAGTGTCATGTTTCTTAGTTGCGCAGCCATGTAATCTTCAAGTAAAGATTTTTTAATGTCCTCATTTCTAATATTTAAGCCACATATTTCATTTTCTTATTATATTATTAGACCCGCTATAGTGAGTTTAATTACAGTAATGTTACTAGCCAGAATCCCTTTTTCGTTCCTGGTTTTCATAAGAATACATCACTGTTTCTTCATTCAATATAATGTTTTGGCATGTAATCTTTTTTATGTTTAGCTATTCTTTTTTTTTAATATTATTTTTATTTTTTGGCTGCGTCGGGTCTTAGTTGTGGGCACGGGATCTTTTGTTGTGGCACGTGGGCTTCTCTCTGGCTGTGGCATGCGGGCTTAGTTGCCCCGTGGCATGTGGGATCTTAGTTCCCCAAATAGAGATTGAACCAGCATCCCCTGCCTTGTCAAGAGGATTCTTTTTTTTTTTTTTTTTTTTTTTTTTGCCGTTCCGCGGGCCTCTCACTCCCACCGCGGAGCACAGGCCTCCGGACGCGCAGGCTCGGCAGCCATGGTCACGGGCCCAGCCACTCCACGGCATGTGGGATCTTCCCGGACCTGAACCCGTGTCCCCTGCATCGGCAGGCGGACTCTTAACCACTGCGCCACCAGGGAAGCCCTA